AATAGGGCAATATTTGGGGACAAAAATTAGTTGCTAAATCTGTTGCCAGTTTTGGGTGATATATCTCCAAATTAACGAGATAACCATTTACTCAATGTCAAAAAAGCTTGTCCCTGTAAAATTACTTTTCTGATGTAGCACTGTCTCTGTAGAGTTTCATCTTACATTATACAGAAATAATTTCACATATAACTGCACTAATATCATCTATCTATGTACAAAATTCGTAAAATTCAGATTTTGTCTTCCGGAATCGCAACTGTTGAAACATCATTGTAAATATCTGTAAAATTCTGTTTTCAAGATTTGTAAAATTCCAGTGTCTATAGGCTCCATTTCTACATAATGTATGCAGAACTGGATCTGCAGACTATTATTGTATATCTGCTAATATACAGAAATAAATGTGTGATTGTCCTGACTTTGGGCTGTATTTGGCTAGGTAGTATAACTTCTCACTGGCATATTGGCTCAAAACAAAAGAGCATGTGAGCCATCAAGTCAGCAGTGAGGGGGGGGAAGGAAAAATTAAACCAAAGCACCCTGAACTAATTGTCAGAGTGATGTTTCCATCATGACAATGCTTGTCCCCATATTTCAATGAATGTCAGAGACTTATGAGTCACCATCACCACCATATTGATCAGAATTTGACCCTTTGAATTTTCATGTCTCCACGTCACTTCAAAATTCTCTAAACAGCATAAAGTTCACTTTATTGGGGATTATCTCTTTACAGAAAAAACATATTGAATTGTTTTGAAGCAAGATTTTTCCAACTGCCAAAGAGATCGCAGAAAGTCATAAAACAAGATGAAATTTACCTGATTCAATAAAAATTTTGTTTGTTTTTATGCTGCTTCATTTGCCTTTATTATAAAAAAAAATCAAAAAGATTCCTTATGACCCAGCAGTTAACAGTTAAGGTCTGTTCTAAGAATCTACATTAAACCAATTATTTATGACTGACATGTTGATGCCCTTGACTAATTTAATTTTTGTTAATGTTTATATTTTATTAATTATTATTTATGAATGTAATTTTTATCTAAATGCAAAACATTTTCATTAATGTTTTCTATTATGTCAGTCTTCCTGGTCTCAGTGTAGAAGAAATACGTGAAGCAGCTATTCAGTTTGCTTCAGAAAACTGTTGTTATGGTTCTGGTGTTGTACGTGATATGCAGATTACTGAGATAGTGATGATAAGTGCCTTTCATGTAAGTGATGGTAAATTTTAATGTTTTTAAAATATTTAAACCTTTTGTTTCTTTTCTTGAAAAATTTTAATTATTTTACAGTATAAATTAGAAACGTTTGCTGAAAAGAGAGAATCTGCTTGGCGCTTTGTTCCTTATAATGGTATGTAAATTGATGTAATATTTCTTCATTAAATTTATTGCAGTGAAAAAAATCGAAAGGGCTTACATTATTTTTTGACTTTTAGCTAAAATTGTTGCAGTAGTAAATTTTATTATTATTTTTGTATTTATTTTTTAAAAAACCATTTTGTCTAATCAAATTTTATCATTTTTTTAAAGTGCCTTCCCTTTTTAGACATAAACCTCTTAGACCCTCTTCTAATAATGCAAGCAAAAAATTGAAGTACTCACAGTTGTTGATTTTCTTGCATAATTAAATTGCCAGCTTACATATTTTCTGATTAGTGGATTAGTATTATTTAGGTGGTTGATAGATCTTAACTTCTCATTAATTCAGGGTGCAATTATTATATCAAATAGGGATCTTAGTCAGAAGTAATGCATCCACTGTATGGATTTTTTAAATCATGATCCAAAGGATCAAAAGACTTTGTAAACAAAGCAATGTCTGAAATGAAAGACAGGCATAACCTTAGTAAAATATACAGTTTCAGGAATATTGTTTACAAAAAGTCTTGAAGGTCAAAGAAATCTGATAAATCTCCAGATCTCATGACTACTTGGACTGCAGTATGTTTAAATAATTATAAAATCTGAACAGTTGGCTTGACCACTTTTCTTTCTTTTTTTTTTTTTAACTTACTTGTATGAAGTAAAGAAAGTACTGTAATTGCATGAAAATTTTTTGAGTATCTTCTTTCAACAGAAATATCCATTTTGAACACTCTCGAATCCATCTGAATGATGTTTTTGCCTGACATTTGTATGTACAGACAGAATAATAATATATTTTTCCCAAAACGGATTAAAAAATGGATTTAGAAGAGATTTTTTAATGATATATCTATGTATGTATGTATTTATCTTGCATAAGCCAAAAACTAGTAGCCTCAGAATGTTGAAATTTTTTATGTGGTACTGCTATAACATTTAGTTACGCACCTCCCATTTTGGTTTTTATGTATATATACATATATTTTCTTACATAATTAAATCACCAGCTTTGCATATTTGCTGATTAATGTTGTTTAAGTGGCTAACTTCTCATTAATTCAGAATTCAATCATTTTGTCATTTGACTGTCTTAGTCAGAAGTAGTATGGATTTTTTAAATTCAGAACCAAAGGCTGAAATAAAAGATGGGCATAGCCTTATTAAAATATGCGGCTTCAGGAATATTGATAATGAGAAGTCTTGAATTCAAAGAAATATAATAAAACTCCAGATCTCATGACTTAAATGGACTGCAGTCTGTTTAGATAATTTTGAAATCTGAAAAATTGGGTAGACTTTTTTTCTTTTCTTTTCTCCCCCCCCCCTCTTAATTTCCTTGTAAGGAAGTAAAGGAGGTATTGTAATTGTGAAAAATTTTGAGTATCATTTTTCAAAGGAATTATCCATTTTGAAAATTCTCAAATCAATCTGAAAGATGTTTTTTTGCACGACATTTGTATGTACAGACAGAATAAAGGTCTCTTTTTTTACCCCAAACGGATTAAAAAATGCATTCAGGAGAGTTTTTTTGTGATGTCTGTACGTATGTACATATTTTGCAAAAATCAAAAATGAGTAGCCTCTGAATTTTGAAATTACTGCTATAACACTGTGTACCTCCCATTTTGGTTACAATCAGCTGCAAAGTATATATGTGTGTTTATATATATATATATATATATGCCCACTTTATTACTTGGCTCAGTGACCTCAGTCTTTTTTTATTCTGATATGCGGGCAAATTGTGCATTTTTTGCTTTAAAAATGGTTGAATTATGTTGTTCTTATGTTCCAGTTAAGGTTTTTATGCTTTTAATTAATGTGCATTTAATAATTATTGACTTAAAAGTTGTTCAAGTGCAACTAAGCCTGATGAAGCAGCCACTTGTGTGCATTTGAAACTTAGCAGAATAGTGAATTCTGTTTCTGCACCTTAAGTGTCATTTTGTCGAGATTCTAAAATGAATTCAGATGAGATTTTTTTTCATGACATCTATACGTACATACATATGTATGTACCTTACATAACTCAAAAACAAGTAGCCTCAGAGTGTTGGAATTTTGATTTTGTATAGGGGACTGTCATAACATGTAATTGTGAACCTCTCTTTTTGGTTGCAATCAGCCATACTAAAAAATATATATATGTTGAATGTTCTAAAATTTACTTAGTTCAAAAACAAGTTTTTCTAATACTTGCACAATAGCTGCAAAGTAAGATAATGATAATTAATTTACTAAAGAAATCTTGATTATATTATCTCCTAATATAAATTTAGTAGAAGTATCAAAAAAGAGGGGTCCCATATGTAGGAAGTTCAATTCCGAAAATTGTGTTTTAAAGTAACTTGGATGTAAATTATGAAAAAGACGTTTTACGGGGACTTGAATATAAATCATTAATAACAAAATTTAAATCTTTGAAAAAAATTAATAATTAAAAACAATTATCGCTATTGATCGGAAATGGAGTTGACTTTTCAAGGGGAACAAACCAACTCCCATTCCATGAACAATAATTAATAAATGCGAAGGTGTTTCGTCTTTTACTCAAGTAAAAAATGATGATGCCAAACTGGCGAATTAAGTTAGGTCAAAATTGTAGTTCCATGAAGTGATTTATAACCAAAGAAGTGATTTATAACCATGAAGATTTATAACCAAAGTAGAGTACCAAAGAACTCATTCTTAATGAAGCATTTTCGCTAATACAAGATTCTTTATAAATTTTGAGTGAAAAGCAATTTATGTAGTAAAATTTACAAGATACTTGAGTAAATGTCCCCCAACACCTTCGCTTTTATACATGTTTAATTCAAGACTATTTTTATAAAAATAATAGTAGGAATCTTAATTGGAATTATGCAATAGAATTTAAAGTAATTGGAATAAACATGAGAAAATTAAGAAACATAACAATGCTATCTTTGCAAAACAAATCAAAATGTTCAAAATCAATTCAATAAAATTTGAAAAATTGAAATATATATAATAAGAACATAAAATGAGAAATGTACATGAAGATATAAAGTATATTTGCTCAGGAATGTGTAATCGCATGTGTTTGATACACAATTAAAGGAAATGATTGTCATGTTTATTGACTTACAAAAATTCATTTTTTCTTGAAATTAATTCATATGTCTTATGTGTTTAATTAAATGAATAACTTCTTAAAATAATGTTTTATGATTATATTTATGTTTATTTAAATGTTTTATTATATTTAGCATTTTATGATTTTTAATTATTTCATTCATTGAAAAAAATTAAGTATGTATAAATGATTTAAAACTAGAAATTTACATGATCTTAAAAAAAGAATAAATAGTCCAGGTAATTGAAATTTTACCATTAAAAAAGTAGTCATGGGAGAATAGTTGCAAGATTTGGTAGAATTATATATGCTAATCATAATTTTTCAATAATAATTTATTGGCAGTAATGTAATTTTTGCAAGTGATGCCAGTTAATATCAATTAGTACATAGAAGATCAGTGACTGAAACATAGGTCAGAGTTTCAGTCTCAAAGAGACAGTTGCAGCCAACATTTCGGCCTGAGAAATTCCCCCCCCCCCCACTCAGAGTGGGAAGATAGTCATTGCCCTTCCCTGCCACTTGTACAATGACCTTCACACATCCCATCTGTGGGGTTTTGTAAATTTCCCTTTGTTTCCCCTCAGCAAAGGAATCAACTTGGGACAAAATCTTTCAGTTGTTTCAAAGAATATTTTTTCTTCATACATGGTCTTTGGCTGTGTTTTGTATGATTCTTTTGCTCTGTAGAATTCTATACTAATACTTGTCCATAGACTCCAACTACTACGGATTCTCCGTAGTTTCTACGGAAATTCATGAAAAACTACGAGCTACGAAAAGTATGGAAAAAACTACGGATTTTACAGAAACAAGAGCAGGAGAACCAGTACGCAAAACAGAACCAACTAATTCATCCGATGATTGGCTGAATACTCGTGTTATCATATATCACGTGTTGAGTGCGTTCCTAGTTTTGAAGAATTAGCCAATCGTAGATCAGTAACTCAACAACCGTTAACGACTTATCAATAGTTTCCACCAATTGTCTGTCTCCCAGGTTCCTCGCTGATGCGTGTTTAGGCTGCATTCGGCTGCATTGTGTAGTTTACGGCGAGAGCTTAGCGTGTGTCTTGTGAACTGTGAATCAGGTGAAAGATTTTTAATCATAATGCTGCCTCGAACGAAGAAGCCAAAATTATCAAAGCGAAGTTTAAAAGATTCATATTCTTCAGAATTTCCATGCATTAAAGCGTCCGAAATTTCTGTGAATCACGCACACTGCAGTGTATGCAACAAAGACTTCTCAGTTGCTCCATGGCGGAAAAGATGACTGTAAACGGCATGTGTTTTCTCAAAGCATATAGAACTTGGCACCGTAAAATCTAAAGAAATAACAAATTTTCTTAATAAAAGATGATGAAACAGATCCTATAAAAGCCGAATGCCTATTTTGTTCGTTTTTTAATTGAACATAATCTACCGCTTTTTGTTTCGGATCATTCCAAAGAGCTTTTCAAGCAATGTTTCCGGATTCTGCCCATAGCAAAAAAAATTTAGCTGCGGTCATACCAAAACTGCTGCTATTGTGAAAATGCTTGCAGAAAATACTGTTGCTGATATTATAAAATCAGTGTGCAGTACATCATTTTCTCTAAGTAATGATAACAATGATAACAAACTGTACCCATTGGTTATAACATACTACAGTAAAGAAAAGGGAGTGATAATTACTTCATTGATTTCTATTTTAGAATGCATGAATAATACAGGAGAAGGTATTTTTAATTGTATAAATGAAAACTTTAAAAACAAAGGTTTAGAATGAAAAAGTTGCTTATCATTTTCTTCAGATAATGCTAGTAATATGATTGGAAAGTTTAAAGGTGTAGCATCATTTATCAAATGCATCAACCAAGTATAATCACCCGAGGTGTCCGTGCCACCTC